CCTTGGAGCATCATTCATAATAGATTTAACATCACCATCATTCATAATATATTTAACATCATCGTGATTCCAAATTACAACATCAACAAGAGTTCGATTCAAATAAAATTCCATAAGGTATCTTTAGAGTTTAATTCAAACCAATTAAAATTTGCTGAACTGAGGTTATTTGTAGATGTTAAACACGATCAATGGTTATGTTGAATTGAATTTGTGAGCATGTTTTGAATTGGGGAGACTTGATTATAAAGATTTCCAAAATCAAGAATATTTATTATAAAGATTTTTCTAACCGAGTGGAGTGTATATATATATATTTTTTAATTTTGTATACAACTGATCTCATACATTGATCTGGCAGCAGGAAGAGTTGAAATTCCATATATAGTGTTGAAAACTGAAAACCATTAACCACATTGTTTTTTTAAAGGAAATTCAGGGCGGTATCTAGCGGGTATTCCCCCGATTTATTAATATTAAAAATAAAAAGTACAAAAAGTAGTACTTAAGACTCACTCAAAAGAAAAGAACAGTCTTACAAAGATTTGCTAAAATCCTCTCACGGTTCCGAAACATGCTACAACTAAGAAATTGCCTCACAAAGATTATCCTATAATTAATCCCATGGTAGTTCTATTTTTTAAACTAAAAATAAATAAAAATTATAATAAGAGACTGTCTTATAATGATTTTTCTATAAAAATCCCATGACAGCTTTATCTACACTAGGATACAATTATTTTCTATCTAACTCGTATGTAAGGAGTGGATCGCTGTTCAAGAGTCAAATTTCCACGTAAGTTCAATGGCAACTGTCTCCACTCCTTGAATGTGGAGGTTCTTCCTGTTGAAGCTATTTTTGATAGGAAATCTGCAACACAAATAACTTCCCGATACAAATGTGATAGTGTATGAGAATGCCTTGACAATATTTCCACTATAGGCTTGAGTGAGACTCTATTTTTCCACAAAAAATTCGACCGATTTGTAATTATGTCCACCAATATTTTGTTGTCAGATCGAATTTGCACATGTATGCGTTGAATCTCCACACATCTTTTCAATCCTGCTAGCATCGCTTCTACTTCCATATCGAAAATATGACTTTGACCCCACGTACTTGCAAGATGTTGAGATGAAATTGCCTTGATCACCTCTAACAATATATCCATACCAGCTTCGGCTAGAGCCTCAATTGCTGAGCCATCTAAATTTAAAGCAAAAGATCGTAGAGGAGGGTATTCTCCAGTGTTTGTGCCGAAAAAATCACCCTAAACCGTAAGAAAGAAAAGGGTGAAATTCTCTAAAACATACAAAACCAAGCGATTGTGGAAGAGTTCAAAAACCGGCCTTGGATCTAGAATCGAGGGCTTATGGTTCACTTTGGTTTAATATTAATAAGAAAAAGATATAGAGAAAGAGTGAGACAAGCCAAAGAGTGGTGGCCGTCAATTGATTAAATTGGGGAGAAAGAAAGATAGGTAGCGCCGATTAGCTAGGGAGAATGTCGATAATGCGCTATTACAAGGAGAATCGAATTCAGTGAAGTAGAAAACGATGAACGGCTACCTGTTTCTATGAAGAAAAATAGGCCAAAAACAATTTAGCGGCTACACTAAAAAGAAATGATAAAAATACATGAAAAAAAAGATGAAAAATAAAAAAAAACGAATGATATCGATGATGAAGAATTGAGGTGTGTGTGTGTTGTTGCGCGCCGCAGCTTAAATAGGAGGAGTCCACCCGTGGCTGTCTTAGAGAAAAAGATAGGTCATTTCTAGTAGAGTCACTCGGCCGAAGAAGTTTGCAAAGAGGAAGCCCACGTAGGAAGCATTTCCAACTTGAATAAAAGACTAGTTGATTAACCTAATCAAATCACTCGTGCGTGGGAAGCTTCAAAGGACCAATATATCTGAACCAATCATATATAATTAATATTACTTGGCCCTAAATCATCTCCGGCAGTAGCACGAGTCCAACTCCAATTCAATTTAGTATCTCTCATTAACCAAATTAATCCCAAACCAAGCGTAAATGGAATTAGTCTTCAAATATTATTTCTAAATTATAGGAAACAAGCCAAATCAGTGTAGTATTTCTTCGTTGCTTAATAATTTTTCTCTGACTTAAATACCAATAATAAAAAAATTCTGTCTTTTCGGTTGATGGCCAAATCGGCCTGTCAAAGAGAACCAAATTCATTTTGGTGTCTAACACCCAGTATAAAACTTGTATCTTCTTCTTTTTCTGTATTGACACTTGAACATGAAAATTCTCTCGTAGGAATACAATTTCTGCATCTAAGTTGGCACTCATCTTATACACACATAAAGATTAGTTACATGCTCCCTACTAAAATTTAAACATTGCCTATTATCAAAATTAGATCCCTCATGTATGATCCTATTTCTACTTTTCCAAACTTCCCACATTATAAAAGAAGGCAAAACAACTATGATTGAACACGGGGCTGTCGTGAAGGTGCCCTGACTATACCATGCATGCAAATATACTTTCAAACATTGGACTGTTGGCAAAGACAAACCAAGTAAATTTGAAAAGTAATGCCAAATTTTTCTTACAATACCACATTGATAGAAAACATATTGTATCTCCTCGTTCGCATTGCCACAAAAAGGACATCTGGAAGGATATGCATCAAATCCCAATTCGCTCATCTGAGCTGCAAAAGGGAGTAAAGAGTTTAAAAGCTTCTAATTGAAAAATGACATTTTTAAAGGAATTAACTTATTCCAAATAAACTTTGAGAACAAGGTTGAGTTTCGTGACTCCCTGATAATATGGTGGGCTGATGATATAGAGAAAGATCCAGTCGACATCTTGCTCATCCGAAAAATTCATATCTATAGCTTCTCAAATTCAGACATCTTGGCCACTAACCACCTTGTGAATTAGATGCAAGTAGTGAAATTTAGAACAAAATATGAGCTTAATTACTTTTATAAATTCCAAAACAAGCCTTACGTTTCTATGAACTATTTCATGGTATAAATCGCCGTTGCTTATATGACGTTCTCACACTTTTTTTATCATTTAAAATTAAAATATAAATAAACAGTATTTGCCAAAAAATAAGATTTAGGTGATAATTACAAGATAAATTATATACACATTAATTGGAGTCTTCTTAAAGAGATAGTCCACCTGCTTTTCTAAAAGTTATACAAAGATATTTTTCATTTTTGTAAATCCAAGTGCAAAGGCAAGTCGTGTAACACTTTTTAACATTCGTTAAGATTTCAGCATTTGTCTTTTAACAGGGAGTTAATATAGATGGTGCCGTTGTAGTAACTTCACTTCACAAGTAATAGTACAAAGGAATCTCTTAAGAAATAAAATAATTAAAAAGTCAATCTTAGATATTCCTTCCGGTCCTTAGTATAAGACATTTTGATTTGTCCTATGTTTCACCTAATAAGGTTTTTTAATTGACAAAAAACCTTAAAATATATTTTTACATTCGTTATGTCTCTTGACTGTTATGAAATATTTTAAGATTTTTTTATTAATTAAAAATATACACTAAGTGAAATTTAAAAAAAGTCAAAATGCCTTATAATAAAGACAGACCGGAGTATTACACAATAATATTGTTCCCACCCTTCACCCATTCCTCTAGCTCATGTTTCAAGAAGATGGCCAATCAATCTTAAAAACAACATTAACAAAACTTCGTTCTTCTGGAAGGCTTGAAGCGCATGTTAATTGAAGTAGTGAACGAATATGAGGATAACATATGTTTGCTTGAACTATCTAATGTTTAATAAAATTTGTATTTTCTTTGTCTTAAAATTATTGTCCAATTTATTTTTTTAATTCTAGTATAATTTAAACTAAAAATTAAAATCTAAATTGGACAATAATTTTGGGACGGAGGGAGTATGATTTAATGATGATCTATTTATGTGTAGTATTGATTCAAGAAAATAGTTTTTCCCGGTTTATATTAAAAAAGGAATAGTAATTCAATGGGATTAAAAAAAGATAGAAAAGAGAGTTTCACATCGAGCAACCAAAAATATTCTCTTCTAGATCGGAGAAAACAGCATCCACACATGCCAAATTAAATTAATTTAGCTTATCTTTCACAAGCCCCACACCAAACAGTCTCCCCCTTCCCCTAGATAAAAAGAAAATTTAGAAAAATAGAAAGTTTTAAAGGAAAGGACAAGAACTCGTTTGATTCCCACTTCAACAACAAACGATTAAACAAACAAATTCTTAAGAAAGTGCCTTCATTTAAACCCATCTTCCATGTTTAGTTTTATAACTGCAAAGGGCAATTCAGTTTTAGATCTTTTCTTTCTGAAAAAATCGGGAACATTTCTAATAAGTTTCACTCTTCCAGAAGAAAAAAGTATAGTGGTTATATTCCTTTTTCTAAATGTATTTTTAAACTAATAAGTGAAAAAAAAATTAACCGTTAGAGTGAACTCTAAGATATCCTAATAATCTAAAGTTAGTGATTTTTTTTTAAAAAAAATTAATTCCTTTTTAATCTCTAATCCTAATCACATCTTTATGATTTCACTACCCACTTCCCTTAACTCCCACAAATCTCTCCAACCAAGCAAATATGCATATAGATTTAGATTTGAGATTATAGATCCATTTCCCCAAAAATGTGGAGCGTGGAAATCACGCGACGTGGAAATTGCAAGGAAGCAATCTAACGTTGTCCTCTTTTTAAGATCCAAAAATTCCAAATATCTCTATCTTTTCTGAGAATTGATAAGGTCCTGAGGACCTTGACTTCCTTAATTCCCACAAATGAACTGCCACGGTTCCACCTGATAGTTATGCTTAGCCACCAATAACAAGGCGCGTGTCTCACACTTTCCCTAACATCCGCTTGCTCTGGTAACGCACCATCATCATACCACTCTCCACATGAAGATAGGAAGAGAAGAATCATCATTTTTTAAAAAAACTTTTTTAGAAGTGTAAGATGCAAAAATAAGTAACTGTAATAATCCTAATATCTTAATAATGATTACAATAAACAAAAAGCATTAAATCAAAATCAATGTCCACGTTCTAACAACCTTCTTTAAATCATCAATTAATAATAAAAAAGGATCTTTAGTTTAGAAACAAAATAAAAACAGATTTAGAAAAAGACCCTCAAAACCCGGAAAAATACAAACAAAAACCAGCTCTCTTCCAAAGATCATAAAAATCCATGGCAGGAAAATGTAAAGAGCATCAGCAACAGTAGGCATAATAAAAGCTGAAAAGAAGAAAACAAGATCCACCTCGAACGCCCCTCCCACCCCCCCTCCCTTAACCTTCCTTCAAACTCTTAAAAACAAAATCTTCACTTCATTTTTTCCTCCTTCCTTTCATTTCATATACCTCTCTCCCCAAGACTCAATATTTTTTCACTTTGAGAGAGAGGTACAAGGAAAAAAAAAAAAAAAAAAGAAGAAAAGATTACAACTTTATTGAAGAACAAAGATTACTCCATTTTTTTGCACACTCTTTTTGTTTGTTTTTTATGGGCTTTTGTTTTTTTCTCTAGCTCATCTTTGTTGATTGATACTACTTGTTGCTATAATCAATTTTCACTGATTGGTGTATTCTTCTTCTTCCACAATTTTGATTTTTTTTAGTGTTCCAAAACCATCAATAATTCTCCCAACCCAGATTTTCTTTTTCACTGATTCTGGTTAATTTGAAGTCTCCAAAATCATTTCTTTGGGGGGGGTAAAAGAAAAAGTATGAGGGATGATGAGAATTGGTTTGCTAAATGGGAAGAAGAACTCCCTCCTCCTGAAGACCTTATACCTTTATCCCAAACCCTAATCACACCTGATCTAGCCATAGCTTTTGATATTCGGAATCCTAACGGCAGCCCACGTCAGCATCACCACCAGCAGAGCAATCAGCCATCGTTGCCGCCGCCTCCCCCATCCCAAGCTCAGAATACTCCCTCTTCCCAGCCCAATTCGTCGGCTGAGTTTGACTCCTCCGAGCTGGGCGGCACCGGCGGCGGGAGTGGTGGCGCCGGAGCTGGTTCAGGAGGTGAAGAGCCCGCAAGGACTCTGAAGCGGCCCCGGTTGGTGTGGACTCCACAGCTTCACAAAAGATTCGTGGATGCTGTGGCCCACTTAGGGATCAAGAATGCCGTCCCAAAGACAATAATGCAGTTAATGAGTGTTGATGGGCTGACCCGGGAGAATGTTGCCAGCCATTTGCAAAAATATAGGCTTTATCTGAAAAGAATGCAGGGGATTTCCAACGGTGGCGGCGGCGGTGGTGGAATCAATGTTAATGGTTCAATGGGTGCAGGTGGGGGTGACCCTGATTTGTTTGCCAGTACCCCTGTTCCTGCTCATTTTCTTCATCCGGGTAGGCCGAATTCGGACCATTTCTTGCCATTTGTACCGGTGACTGCAATGCAGCATCATCATCAGATGGCTGCTGTGGTGGGGCAGCATCATCATCACCATCCACAGCTACAGGGCCAGTTTAGACATTATGGTACATCACCCCCCAATGGCCAATTTGAGCATCCACTTTTGTCTAGGCAATCGCAGCAGCATGTTCAGAGAATGGGGACACCTGTTCATAGCAGTAGTGTGATGCCATCTTATGTGGAGGATATTGAATCAGCTACGCCTACTGCCAACGGGAGGAAAGTTCTTACTCTGTTTCCAACTGGGGATGATTGAATTCGGGGTAACTGCTGACTTTTTTTCCTTGTGCATCATTTTTTTTAACCTTATATTCGGTTCTTAATCTTGTGAAAAAAGTTTGTATTTGGAGTAACATTTTAGTTTATGATTTTGAAATTTTCCTATGATGTGGTCTTTTGGGTTGTTCATGGTATTCAGACATCATGAATTTCTGGATGTTCTCTGAGAATTTTCGATTTATGTTTAGGGGGACATGGTTGTGTTTGGCTTTAGTTGTTGGGGGATCCGTTCAAAGTGTCAGTCTGGAGTCTTTTAGTTTAAGTTGACAAACCCCCTACAAGTGTAATTATATTGCGGGTTACAATCCATCTTCTCCAGTCTGCTTGTGGTGGAAAGTTGACAGATACATTGATCATGAGTCGATACTCTCCATTCTGCTTCTGGTGGCGGATAATGTCTATGATGTCACTTTGGGCGGCAATAATCTTATACAAGTCAATAAGATCAGCTGTCACCGCAGTATCCATTCAATTGGTTCTCCTAGAGTTGCTGAAATCCCTGGGTAATATATCCGGTTGGTGATGAATACCGATGGACAAAAGTCAAATCATAGTTATGCCTAGATTCTTAGATACAGATAAACACCCATGGACTATGAATGTGCATTGGATTTTTGGCCACATCGAGACTCCCCTGCATAGGAGCATAAATATTGTCTTTCAGTTTTGTATCTTGTAGATGTGAGTCCTGCTTCTTGTAAATTGTGTGGTTGATGGCAGACATTTAAACCCTATTAGCGGGAATCTCAATTAGAGGAGAATGACTATTCTGATTTTATTAGCGTGTTGTTACCTAAAGATTGATTTCTCATGAGAAGTTGATATATTGCTGCCTTTGCTGAAATTGCCTGGTTGAACTCCAAGATATCTTTTGTACTCTATGTGGTGTGGCATTAATGTATTAGGTTGTATAGTGAGCATGTCAAAAACAAGTATCTTCTAGTCAATCTGCTGAATTTGGAAGTTACGTTTGCTCGTTATTGATTATTTTCACATCATCCAGTTGAGCTTAATTGTTTTCTTCATGCACCTTCTTTTGTGTTTACTTGTTAATGATGGATTTGACAATACAGGAGGTTAATAATGTCTCCAGTGTTAATGAGGAACTGAATTTTGGAAATTCATCGCCTTGTTTTCTTGCATTACACTTTTGGTGATTCCTCTTGATGGTCTGCTTGGACAGAACTTATACTCTAATTAACTACTCTTTGCATCTTTGAAGGTTTTTAATTTCTTTGAGATTCAACAATAGTTCTGAAATATCACATTTGCTGGATACGTGTGTTCATTATTTGGTTCTGATGGAGCTTGAAACTCTCTTTCCATTTCTTCAGTCACTGACAAATTTACATTAACGTGAATGATATGTTTTGTTGATCAGCCCTTGTGCTTTTTTCCAACCATGTAATTTTTGGATCATGATGAATATGCATGGCAAACTAATGATTGATATTAAGATTTCTGTTCCGATCTTGTTTCTACTTTATGAAAACCGTATAAATGACCACAGAAGATTAATTCCATCTTACTAGAAAAATTTTACCTTTGCAAACTGGCTTTACTTCTAGGGGCGAATGCTCGTAATAATCAAAAGCATTATGAATCGACAATCTCTCCTCAGTTCCTGTGGAAGACTCTGATCGGAAATGTGGATGTTTATGATCGCATTTTTTCTATCCTGCAATAAGGATCATGACAGTTTTTCTGGCATTCAAAATTTGGGAAGTTGGGGGAAATGGAGAAATGCATCCTTTATACTTGATCACAAAGTATTGCTGAAATTAATTGAAACTTTTAACTGCTAGACAAGGCTTCCAATGCTTTTTGGATCAAGTGTTCGGGCAACTATCCATGGAAATTTTTAGAAAGTAATGACAGTAGAAAAGAGATAACATAAGTGTGTTCATGCAGTTGGCTAGATAGGATGAGGTAATGTATTCATTACAAAGAATAGTGGGGGCACCCAGTAGATAAGAATAAAGATAAATACATTTTAAGTTGGGTTAGACATGTGTGCATGATATCTTTGATTGGTCCTATGTACTTTTAGAAATAGAGAATTATTTACTCAAATTGAGCGCGAATAGGGAATACCTGGAACTAAAAGATCCGAAGATACATGAAATTCCTCCTTAGAAACTGTGTTTCAAAACAGTGTGATGGGTAGATATGGTCCACGTAATGGTTCTCACTGTATATAGCGGTTTTTGCATTAGAAGACCAGACATGCTTATCTGCTCTGCATTATGGTTGTGGTCTCTGATTCTCAACTAAAGTTTCCAGATATCGTCTTGTTTGAATTTTCGTAATTTCTAGGCTTTGCATGAATATTTAAGGTCAAAGATCGAACAAGAGGTCTTTTTCCTATCTTTCTGACTATGCTGTAAACATCCTGACTAATTCTGGTTGCAGCAGTGACTAGGACTTGTGCTACACGCGTACATTTATCCATCTACATAAGTTTTCTTTGTAGTTTGTAGCATAACATAAATTCTGCAGCTTTCTCTTTAGTTTGGAATCATAGTGCATATCTTAGTTAATTGTTCAATCATGGCGCGGTTGTCAAAATTAGATGCTAATTAACCATTACAAAGTTGATTCAGGATTAATAGTTCTGCAGTTTGTTGTAGTGCTTGCTATAGATAGGAGACGGAGTAACAGCTGCTGCTTGTCTATTGTTAGTTACAACAGTTTGCTGAAAATAGTGGAACCATGATAAGAGGCTTCTTTCGCTGGTTAAAGGACAGAATTTGCTTCTAGAGTATATATTGTCACCTTGTGCCGAATGAAATGAGAACTCAAATATCTGACTTCTTTTAGTAGAATGTAGCAAGTTTGTTGTTTTGAGCATGATTGTAAATGTCTCTTGAAGAGTTTAGTTGATCATGAAGATACATGTCTCTTAAAGAGTTGATCATGCAGCAACAGATCTAAGATTTCCTATCTTGCAAATAGGCTTATCTTGAATTCTGAAAGCTAAATGCATGACCTTGGGGAGAAAGAATCTGGCAAATAACAAACCAAACGATTCTGAGCTATTTGGATCTCCAGATTCCTTTTGTTATCCGGGAACGGGATCACTTTTTCATCACTGTTCAATTATTTGATCATTCTTTCTTCCTGCAACAGTCGTAGAATTGAATCATTGATGTCTGATCCATGTGGACAATAAACTTCACTGAATCCAAGTGATGCAATCAGATGATTCAATTCTACAAATGGATTCACACTCTGTTATGTTCAATTCTACAATCAGATGGTGATATAAACCTGACTCGTTTGTTTCGCGAGTAACAGAGACACGATTAAAACAAAAGCCCTTAACAACAAAAGTAGATTTGGCATAGTACTAAAGGTGCTTAGTAAATCTGTTAGAGATTTAAGAATTAAATCGAATTGCATTAGAGTTATGTGAAGCGAGAATTTTTTCTACATTTATGTGAGGCTTACCGGAAAATTTCGGTCTTAGCTACCATTGCCTACTATGATATCTGAAAACATTACTGAAATGGCTATATTGTTTGGTGAAATGACGTTATTAAAGTTAAATAGACAAGATAGATTCAACAACGGAGGAGAAGTCAAGGACGAGGTATTTTGTGATCCAAACATTCTATGCAAAAACAAACAAAAGTCCATATGAGTACTCTTCCTACTGTTATAGAAATAGAAAAAAAAAAAAAAGAGGGGGTGGAGGGAGAATCAACGTTCATTGAACTCAAACCTTACAATGAAATATGTTTTTTTTTTTAGATGGGAGGAATATCATTTTTCTTTTTTTTTTAAAAAAAAAGTTGAAGTCTACACATTTTAGTCTAAAACAAAACAGTGCATTTAATAGTTAGGCACCAAATATTCGATCGACGACGACTTTAGATCTGTACATAAATGTTAAATAAAACCATAGGGAAAAGTAACCATTTCGCATGTGACGTGATCCCTGGGAAATTTATAATAATAATAGTACTACTAAATACTAAGTAATATCCTCAAGAAGAAAAAAGAGCGAAAGCTGTTTAGAGGTGCGACATTATCTTGCACGAGACATTCATTATCAGGATCTTATCTGTCTCCAGAGTACTAACTTAAATTACTGTTTTTTCTTGGTTTATGGGTCTGGCAGTGTTTGGTTTAGTTCGAACAACTTTGATGAATAATTATCGCTAATTCTTTTTTATACTATTTTTTGACAGCTCCGATTCGATGGGAACAAGAAGATAACGAGAGTGGAGAGATCCCTGTGTACGGCCCAATTTCTGTATACTGATAACAAGATTCTCAGCTCATATCGTTGTCCGCCCATGACTTAAATATTAATATACATAGTTTTTAAAAATATATTTTATTACAATGAAATATTCAAAAAAAGTTAATAAATTTGTCAACCGTCGATTAAATTTCTATTGCAGAGAATTTTTTGCGTGAAAACAAATAGTGGCTACTCTTTAGATTTACATATTTCCAAAAAAAAAGAAAAAAGAAAAAAGAAAGAAATTGGTTAATTTCAACATCAAATTAGGAATTAGATATTATACATTTTTTAAAAATAAAAAAATGAATTAACTTTCGTGGATATACTTTTAAGCGTGGAAACATAGAGTGTGAGACTGACAACTGTTTTAAATATAGGTAAAAGTGATTATAACTTTGTTAGTTGAGATTGTTTTTTTCGGTGTGTATTTTCTTAAAAAATTACAAACAGATGTCTGAAAATGCGATAATTATGCCTGGATGGAGAATATATTAATTAAAGAGTGATCCATGCGGGGAATAATTACACAAAAATTGTACAATGAATGATGTATCAATCATCTAAACTATCTGCTACCTAAAAAGCATAAATCCTAAATGAAAAATATAAAAAATGAATAGATCCTTTTTGATAAAATTTTCTCTATATGTATCATTATTCTTCATTAAAAAAGAAATTGAAAGCGAATAATCATAATTGATAGGAAAGAAATACTCCCTATGTCCCAAAATAATTATGTACTTTAACTTTTTAAATTTTACTTTTATCCAAAATGGACAATGATTTCGGACAGAAAGAAAACAATTAATGGACTGAAACTATATACTTTTGAATATGAGTTATATAGACTCAAATGCAAAACAATTAGAACATCTTTTCTTTCCCCTTATATTTTTCAATTCGAAAATGTTACTGCCTATTATATTTCTTTGGAATCTGTTTAACAATGCACTTTTTAAATATATAGAACTGAAAAAATATTATTATTTTATAGCTATAAATTTTTCTGTCTCTCTCTCTCTCTCTTCTTCCCAGAGCCCTCAGTGCACGATACTTAAAACGCCACTATCATGGTGCGTCAGTATCGAAATAAGAAGGGAAAGACCATTGAAGCAGATGAACCTCAATCGGAGGAGAGGCATGGAGGAAGATTCACCATTGAGGACTCCAGTGGAAAAAATAGTGGTACTGACTTCCAGATGTGCAGTGAAAATGGGTAATTCCTCTCCCAATTTGCTTTCACATGTTAGAACTTTAGAAGAGCTATGCCAACAAAAGATTGTGAATATGGAATATGCGGATTTACTGAGTAAAAGGGTATTGGAGGGTTCTTATAGGAAACACTTAAATCAGAGAGGAGCTGAAAAAATTTGTTTGAATTGAAGACCGAACTTGATTATGTTGAACCATTATTGTTGATAACAAAACGATAGGAGAGATACAACAGATAGATATACAATATGAGTTGCTATGTTATATGCTATGTATTGGGTGCTCGTCCACCTTATCAGGTTATGAATGGCTTTATAAGGAGGAATTGGGGTTATCTAGGCATTGATAAAATCTTGCTCTTGGAGAGTGAGGTATTTGTGGTAAGATTTAAAGATCTTCAAACTAAAGAGGAAATGCGGAAATTTCCCTTTTGATCATAAGTTGTTTATAGTAAACAAACTGGTCAGTAAAGATGGTGTTAATATGGAGAAATTTCTAAGGTTCCAATCTGGGTGAAATTGCCAAAACTGGCACTTAGGTGTTGGAATGTTGGGACGTTGAGCAAGATGGTCGGTACCATAGGGAAGCCGATAATGATGGATGATAACACAGTGAGGAAAGAAAGAGCTGCTTATGCAAGAGTAATGGTTGAGATGGAAATAAAGGAAAGTATCCCAAAAGAAAGAGCTGCTTATGAAAATGAAAGAGGAATTTTCATGAATCAGGAACTGCAGTATTATTGGTTGCCAGTCAAATGCTCCAAGTGCAAGGATTTTGGACATAAAGGGCAAGAATGTAGATATGAAAAAGTTGTGAAGCCGGTTACAGAAAAGAAAGTATGGAGGAAGAAGATTAATGATAATAATCAAAGGATAGATATAAACCAGAAGAAACCAAGGAAGAGAGGGTGGTGCAGATCAATACTCAACTGGGAATGGAAAACATAGAAGGGCCAATTACCAGGAATTATGGAACTCACGCTAGGCTTGGTTATGTGGAAAAGGGAGTGAAAAGAGGAGCAGGACAATATACTATCCTGGGGCCTTGACTCAATGGATAGTATAATTATCTGGAATGTGAGAAAGCTTAATAGCTCTATGAAACACATGTAGGTTCTTCATAGCCTATGTGTTAATAAAGTTAGTATAGCATGACTACTTAAAACTAAGACAACAGGAGAAAGGCTTAAGGATTTAGTAGAAAGGAGGTGAATGCAGTATGAATACTTTGGCAATCATAAGTCACAGGTGATGGGTGTTGAGACCACCAAAATAAACCTACTTAAAACTTGTAGCAAGTGATAAGAAGGGTTGATCTCACAAAGAGGGGAAACACTTAATGAAAATTGGGATCCAGTACCAAAACACAAAACAGAAGTAAAAACAGCAGATTGGCAAGTGAGTAAGTGACTTGGCAAAGTGATGGCAACCTAGGGTCATCCTCCACTCTACGCTATATGTATATGTATTGATTCTTTTAGCTCTCTATATAGTATGAAACTGTATTCAATCAGGTACATAAATACTGCAATGTCACTTCCGATTGTTCCAAACAGCAGTCCTAGTAGTAAGCAGTAAACTAACTTTCATTGTTGACTTTAAATTACTACTAAGCCATTAAGATCTTAAGCCCTTATGATTGCCTCGTGCACAACAACTAACTTCAGTTGTTGTTTGAAACCTTGGGCAGTAATCCCCTCGTCACCGGTTAATTCTAGACGTTCTAAGTGAAGTTTACCCTTCCGGGATTCCCCCCACATGCATGCACAATTAGTTTGAATGGCCTGTTTAACCTAAAAGGATCATTTAAACTCTATAACTCAGCATACAAATATCACCCGAGAGAATGAATCAAAACATAATTATATAGAGTAGAGGGATTAGACCCTAGCATTGAGTTTAGCTACTCATGGAGTGAAGCTCAAACACCACAAAGTTCAGGTGTTGAGACTTCATCCTGATTACAACAGAAAAGAGAGAAAACAGGGGAAGAGTAAAACTAGGGAGTGTGGTTAAGTGCAGCTGACTTTGCAGAGTCAGCTTCTCACATCCACAAGAGACACACCTGAGTCTACCTCCCAGAGTCATACTCTGTTTTCTTCCTACCGACTAAACTACACTACAATCTACTTCTAAGTTGTATTCTGGACTTCGATGCCTTCGTCTTCGTACTGCTGCTGCCTTTATAGAGGTTGGGGAGAGCTCTTGCTTAGCCTTGTTGGTCTTCTCTTTACCCGATGGGTTTTATGCAAAAGAGAGGAGACTCATACTTTTTCCAACTTCCCCCTTACCTTTAATCAGAATTAGGAGAGATTTAGATGATGAATTCAGCTTTAAGGCACATCAATTTTCTCCCAATGTCAGCAGCATCACTTATAGGTCTATTTGGCCTATAAGTGAATTCAGCTTTCGAAGGTTTGCTCCAATTTGGCCTTCTTCCCACCGGATTCTTCCTCTTCTCAGCCCTTGTACGACCAGTCCCTACAGCAACTTCTAATTTAGCCCAAAATTTTACCAATTTACCACATTTTACTCCATTTTTTACCCATATTGCATTTCGGTCCCTGGACAACCACAAATCACCAAATTAGCCTATAACTATATAAACCTAACCTAATTAACCTATAATTAAAGCATAAAGAGGTAAATTGTATGCCTAAAAACATAGTACGAAATGCACTCATCAAAAAGCAAAAGGGAAGAATATTGTTACTTTGGAAGAAGAACGAATTTGATGTAAAGATAATAAAGGTAGATGATCAATACATTCAGTGTGAGGTAAGAAGGATGATGGAGTCTTTCTTTTAATAGTGGTGTATGGTGATCCATAGGCTACAGGAAGGGGAAGGTTGTGGCAAGAACTAATGAAGTTTACCAGTCCTAATCAACCCTGGTTAGCTGCTGGTGACTTTAATTTGTTTTAAAATCAAAAGAGAATGCCAGAGGGGTGAAGGAGACTAGTACAGATACTTGTAAGTTTCAGTATATGGTTGAGCAATACCAACTAATTGATATGAGAACATACGGAATGATTGATATATGGTGTAACAAGAGATTGGGAGTAGACAGACTTCCTACCAATCTAGGGATTCCTACGGACAAAAAGCCCAAGCGAGTGAACGCT